TTTTGGGGAATGCTCCAGGGAGGAAAGAAGCAGCAGAAAGCTGCTCTGCTTCCCAGACCTCAGGTCCAGGAGGTTCTTGGGAAGTTCGAAGGCGACCTGCCCCTGCCTGAGTCTATCTCTTTGAATGCCAGGTCAGAGAGCCCCCATGTCTTGCCTAACTGACATGGAGCCCCACTGGTGTCTTAGGGTACCTACTGGAGAAACCCAGAGGTACAGACCCCACAAATGTAGATGGATCTAGAAGCCCCCAACTCCTGCAGACTTGGGGAGTGGTGTGTGTACAGGTACCATGGGATCAGTCCTGCCCAGTGGCCTCAGTCTCCTCTGATTGTCACGCAGGGATCTCCTGGCTGTGGGAGAAGCAGCCACATTCCCAGGACAAGGACTTTAAAGCTGAGTACCTGGGATCTTGGGTATTATCTTCTAAATTAGTCTTGGGAGCACTTGTGGCTCTCAAGGCGGCCCAGGAGAGGGAGTCATGAGAGGGGACTCGGGGAGCACCTCTTCCTGGGTTTCCTGGAGACTCCTGCATCTCTGGCCCCTTGGCAGGGTGGGAATGTGGGGAAGGGAGGGCTGGCCAGAGCCCACCGCCTTGGATGTTTGTTCAGGCTGCTGCATAGAGACTCACAATAATTTCACAGGAGCCCTTCCCAGGACACCTCCTTCCCCTAACAGACACTCGCCTGCACACACATATGCTCTCAGGTGACTCCTCCCGCATGCATCCCCTTTCAGGAAGACCCAAAGCTCTGGACTCTAATGTCCCCTGTGGATGGTGACATGAATAGTAAAATTCATCCTAAACCCCAGGGGCTCTTTACACCTTGTCTCTAAACTTACCATTGATCCTGCATAGAAGCTTTTATTATAACCTACATACACACACACACACATCCAACTTTGTAGGTGAGAAAAATGGGGCTCAGAAAAGCTGAGTGTTTGGCCAGAGGCCACACAGCTACCACTTGGCAGAGCCGGACTGGGATCTAGACCCACCTCATGCCAAGCTCACACTTCATCGCTTTTACCAGGCTGCCTTTCCTGTTTCTTTCCCAACACCCAGAACTCAGTAGGTGAGGAAGTCAACTGGTTAATGTGTACATTTGGGTTTTCTTTCATACACACTCGATACAGGCCCCAGCTGCCCTTCTCCAAACCCACCCTGATCTGTGATCTCCTGGCGGACTCAGAAAATCACAGACTCCTCTTGCTTTCTCCACAGTTAGAACCAGCACCAACATAAATTCCCTGGGCTCCAGCCTCAGTTTCCCCTCTGTCTCTCAGGCCCAAACATCTAAGTAAGGCTCGCCCTGCTTTATAGAGACCAACAGCACTGGCTGGGCTCCTGCTCCAGGTCTGACCCTCACTCTGAAAACCTCTGGGGTCTAGCCACCTCCATCCTCCCCTCTTCCTCCGAAATGTCAGGCCTGGCACTATCCCCCTGCAGCCCTCTCTCCCTGTGGCCCCCTGAGAGCCCGGGCTTTGCTTGAGGGCGGCGAGTGAAGCCGGCTGTAACAGAGAAACCTCGGGCTCCTCTTTAGAAGTCCCCGGAGGAGGCAGATCTGAGGAAAGGCTGCGGAGAAGGCGCCTGCAGCAATGTCAGCTTGAGAACAACCCGGCTGACAGGATGCTGAGTGGGGATTAAGGTCAGGATCAGGGAAGCTGGGGAAATGAAGGAAAGTTCCCTGCTCCCCTCTGCTGCCACCGCTGCCCACGGCTGCCGGCTGCCGAGTTTGTCTTCTTGTTTGTTCTCTCTCTGGGAAAGTAGATGGGGAGGGAAGTAGGCAGGGGTGAAGCAGGGAGGTAGGGGGAAGGACAGGGGAGAGGTGAAGAAAGGCAGGCAGCAGGGTAGAGGTAGAGAGGAAAGAGTTCGAGGCCTCTGGTTTTTAGGGCTCCTTCAGAGTGGGCAGCCACATGGGGGCCCTCGCCTGGGACCATTCCCCAGTGACTGTCTCCAGTCAGCCATGGGCAGCCCCCTCTTCCCCCTCCCCTATGTGCAGAGCCTGTTCTGAGTATTGGTGGCAAGACCAGCGAGGACAAAACTGACAAGGCCAACGTGTCAGATGTGACATACTCTCCAAAAGGGGACAAGCCTGTTTCCTCCTGCCTTCAAATGCCAAATCCCTTGTTCTGGGGAAAGGCCATCACTGAGACTTGCCTCATCATTGAAATGTCACCAGAGCCCAGGCAAATGGACAAAAGAGTTCCAGGTCATCCAATGCAACAAAAAACCAGGGTCCCTTGCATTGTCATTGGCGTGGTGGTTAAGAGCATGTCCTCTCGTCTCAGAGTGCCTGGGTTCATATTCTGATTCTGCCACTGATTTGCTGTGTGACCTTGTGCAAATAGGCTAACCTCTCTATGCCTCAGTGGGAGAAAACAGTGGCACCCCCTCATAAGGTTGTTGAGAAGATGAAGGGAGTGAACACTTGAGAGGTACTTGGAGTCGGGCCTGCCACAGAGGATGTGTGCGATGAGGGTGGTTTTATTATCCAGGTCAGAGTGAAGGAATAATAGTGACCACGTAAAGTTAATTGCCTGAAAGTTTCCTGGAGGAGGGGAGTATGGAATCTGATTTTGGAGGAGGAGGCTCGACAAGGGTAGAGAAATAGATTGGGGGTGAGAGGCAAGTTCCTGTGTGCCAGGTTAGTGTAGGGCCTGAGAGGGTCAGAGGTTTAAGGATGTGTCTGGTGAGAGGTGGAAAGGATGCATTTCCTGGGAGCCCTGCTCCCAGCCAGTCTTTCTCCAAAGTTCCTACTCTAACTAGGGATAACGTAACTACTCTCTCCCACTCCTGCCAAGGGTGCAAAGACCATAAAAAGAAGCTGTTTATCATGGTGACCTTCCTAGAATGGGGCTTCTTCCAGAAATCCAAGCAATTCATAGAGGCTTCCCGAACCCCTGGGTTCTCTGGTCCTAGTAAGGAACAAGGCAGCAGAGAAAGGTGTGGAGACCGTACACCTGGCCGATGGTCCCTGGGGCTGGGTTCTAGCTCTGCCACTGACCAGCTGCGTGACTTGGAGCACATTGGTTAACATCTCTGGGCTTCAGTTACCTGGTCTGTAAAAATGGACACAGGAACCCAGGAGGGGGGTTTCTGGGTTGCCTACTGCAGGCCTACCCCCGGCAGCTCCTCCTGGGGGTCCTCAGGTGTTCACCCTATCTCTGGATACCCTGGCCATAGGCTGGGAGTGGGGAGAGGGTCGGGGTGGGAGTGAGAGCCTGTGGTGGGGCACTGGTAGTTGAGGAAAGGGTCTGCTGAGTGCTCTTTGGGGGAAAACACCTGGGCCAGGGGACCTAGTCTTCTCAGATGTAAGTGGGGAGCAGGGGATTTTACCTCCAGGGGAATGGTTTCTGGTGAAGCTCATTTCAAAAACTCCTTTTTCCTCCATCAATAAAAATTATGTATATTTATTGTAGAAAATTTGGAAAATACAGAAAGCATAAAAAAAGTGATAAAGTTCAGTCGTGATGCAACTACTCAGAGATAACCATGTTACTGTATCTTGTAGTTTTTTAAAGTATATACTCATATACTCATGAGCATTCACATACCTATTCACAGTGCTCACACATATATTCACACACTTACACATTTATACACGCAAATAGGTAACTTTTTATTACAGCATAATAGCTTAATGTACGTATATCTCAAAAAACTTAGAAACAGGATTATGGAATCATAAATACATTACAATTTTTGTAAACTGTCTTTTTCGTTAAACAAAATATCAAGAACCTTTCCCCCAGGTCGTTAAATATTCTTTTCCAACATAATGTAAAATGACTGTAGAGTGTTCCATCTTTTGGGTATATATTATCAGGCACATAATATTATCAATCCTCGATTGTTGGCCATCCTGATTATTTCTTCATGTTGCTGTTACGAACAACACAGCGACAACATCCTTTTAGAGAAATCTTTAAGGGGGCGGCTAACTTTGCAATTGTTTCTTGATATGTCTGTCTACTCCCAGCCCTGAGTGTGAGGCTTTCTAGGGCAGGCTCTTCGTCTGATTCACGAGCTTGGCTCCTGGTTCACGGTAGACATATAGTTACTGTTGAATTGCATCGTATTTCTAGAGGCTGCGCTCTGGGCTGAGGAACTGGAATGGTGGGCTGATGAGGAAGGAGCCCAACCTTCTCTGCTAAAAGAACGCTCAGGGGTCCCTACTGCCCCTCCGCTGGGCCTGGTAGAAACAAAACATTCCCAAGCCCAGAGCCACTGTGTGTCCTGGAGCCACATGGAACTGCCTCCTCTTTATCTCTTATCTTCCTGGGCAAACCAAACGTTGCCTTTCCCTGCCAAGATCGTCCCCCTTCATACCCCCATCTCTGAGTTCTTTTGTTGTGTCTTCAAGCTGATGGCCCAGCCGACAGAGCCCTTTTACCTGCTCATTACTGCCAGAGCAATGTTGTGGCAGCTCCCCTGGCTCCCTACAAGGCAGCCCCTCTCTGGCCCCGTTTCTGACAGCACAGCCCACTGGACCCTGGGAAGTGCCCACATGGCACACCTCAGCCCTGCCCCCAGCTCTGCCTGCCACCTCTCATGGCAGCAAGGAGCCTTTGTCTCTTTCTTTTGGGCGCTTTGGTCTGATGCCATCTTTCTTCCTAAGACAGATTTGTAGAATCTTGGATTTTAGAGTAGAGATCCAGCTCCCAGTTTTTCAATGAGTCTTGAGAGAAAGAGAGAAAGGGAGAAAAAGAGAGAGAGAGAGAGAGAGAGAGAGAGAGAGAGAGAGAGAGAGAGAGAGAGAGAGAACAAAAATTGAGAGGTAAAACTTACTAATTTACTTTCCTCAATCATTCATGCTCCTAACCTCCTGTAAAATTTTTATTTTTATCTTTTCCTTCCTCTTCTTTTTCTCCTTTCTTCCTCTCTTTTCTCCTTCTCTCTTCTCTCTTTCAGTTCTGACACGCTCTCCCACCCTCCTGTCCTCATTTCCCCTCCTCTCCCTTTCTTTTTTAAGTTTTTTTTTTTTCTTTTAACTTTCAAGGTCATTCCGGACTCCTGAAGCCGCCAGTCCCTCAGTGAGACATGAGCGCCACTGGCGTCCGTGGCCTCTGTTTCCGTGGCAACCCAGTAACCATTAATTTTCAATTAAAGGAGACAAAAAGCTCGATGACAGCTCCAGGTCTGCTGAAGATGTCAAGAATCTGTATTAATATACAGCAAGAGAGCATAATTGTGTGTCCATCTTCCAGAGCAGCGAAAAATGGAGGGATAATTACCAGCTCGAAAGCCACTCTGTAATTTAGTTCTTACTGTCACCACAGCCCTACACATTAGCATAAATTAAAAGCAGAGTTTATTGTTATCAAAGTGCATTGATATCGCCAGACCTGCTTTCTTCCTTTTAACTGTTTGTCGTGGGTGAGTGACTCCCCAACTCTCGCCAGGGTCTCCCTGGGGTGGGGAGAAGTGCAAGTGCAGGAGCTGCTGGGTGTAGATGCTAGATCTGGAAGGTCTCGGCCATTTCTGTCATCTTCCCTTGGGGTGGATGGGGACAAGGGTCAGGGCATCGCCCCTCTGAAGGGGCCTGGGGATGATGGGGACTTTGATACTAATTCACCTCTCCTGTGTGAGTGCTTTGTTTTGCCCAAGAGCCCTCAAGCTCTTTCCAGAGGGGGCCGCTGCCCATCCCGGGGTCCCCCCTTTAGTGCCTAGTACAGTGCAGCGCAGATGATGAGTGTTCGATGTCAGCCTATTAAACAAAGGAATGAGCGAATGTCAAGGGGGTCTCTTCTCATGGGGTGGATGTCAGCAGGGGGCCTTCTTGCTTTCTCAATTCTTGGCACGGCCAGCTTGGAATAGAGATGCTCCTGGCTCCGGCCCTGTGCCAGCCAGGCCCCTAGCTCCCAATGTGGCCCCTCTGGATCCCCACTTCCCTTGCTGTTGGATCATCCGCCATCACCCCTTCCCCCCGCCTGGGTCCTATCACCCTGCAGGCTCACCTCTGAGTAGAGTAGTTGGAGCTCCTCGAAGTATCTCGCTGCCGGGGTACCAGTGACAACGGCAGAAATCATGACTTTCTGTGAATGGGGGGATGCGGGGTTTTCTTGTATTCTATCCAGAGAGAGCTGTCCTTCAGAGGGGAATTTAGTGTAATTACCCTTGAGGGAGCGATCCCTACACAGTCAGTCACAACACTGACCTCCTGGCTGAGATCTGACAGCAAAATTACAGGCTGTGTACTCAACAGAAGGGGCATCCTCTTTTTGCGGGGTGGGGGGAAGGCGGGAAGGAAGGAGGAGGAGGGGAAGGAAATGCAGAGGCTTTGAAAAGAAAAGTGCGGGCTTCCAGCTGGCAGGCGAGCGGGCGCTCCTTGGCCAATGTCCGTGGGGCAGGGAGAAGGTGCCCAGAGTTGGCCTGGCACCTCACCTGGTTCATGAGCAGAGGCTGAGGTGGGCAGTTGGGCCCTTTAAATCTTTGAGCCATGGTCTGTGATCTTAGCTAAAACTTAATCTTCCTATAAGTAGGGTTTGGAGGACACTAGGAACTATTTGATACTCAGGCACGTTTCCCCAAACAGATCTGTCCCTCAGTCTCTCTCACAGTGCCTGAAACTTCACCATTCCTTGTGTCTCTGAGTTAACAGATCCATGACCCTGTTAAACTGCCCCTGGGTACCTGGCAGGATTAACATGCTAATCTGTGACTATTCCAAATTTAGCACGAATTTATCTATCAGATGTGCTGGCCCATCACAGGGCAGAACCCTAAGGACACGGGTCAAGCAAGTTTTCACAAGGTAATGAAGAAAGTCGTGTGTGGACAAATCTCCGGGGTCTGTGGAGCGTGGGAGGGGATGGAAGTAGATCCTCAAATCTCACAGCTGGGAGGGACCCCAAAACCAATTGGTCAAACCCCTCCCAAAGCAGGGATCCCTTCTGCTCAACCTCTATCTAAACCCTGGCCTTCTTCTGCTCACGTGACTTCTATCAGCAGGAGCTCACTAACTCTAAAGAGGTCCATTTCGCTGCTAAACACCACTGATACTGAAAAATTCCTCTTGAGTGGAGCGAAAACCTGTTTCCTTGACATTCCTACCTTCTCTTTGGGGCCCAGAAACAAACCTAAACTCTCTCTAGTGGGACTGCCTTTCAGCTACGTGAAGACAATGCTCAGCTGTCCAACATCTTCAATTCTGGGACCCGGCGGGCCTATTGCCATCCCACTCCATGTAAGAGCTGGAAAGGAGTCCATAGGGACAAGAGTGGGCATGAAACACAAACCCAACATTTATTGAGCATCTACTATGTTCCAGGCACTAATACGCCATGTACTGCTTTCATCCTCCCAACAGTCCAGTGAGGGGAGGATATATTATTCCCATTCTGCTGTAGAGGAAAGACAGACCCAGGAAGCTACTACTCATTTGCCCAGATGACCTGGCAGGCGAGGGGCAGAGCCAGGATCAGAGTCCAGACCCCTGATCCAGCTGAGGGCTTTCCCTGAGAATCTGGTTGCCTTTGCCCTCGGACCCCTCAGACGCTGTGAGCTCTGTCATTGGTCTGCCTGTCTCCTCACCTTCAAAGCGCTTTGCTCCAGAGATGCCAGTTCTCCTGTCTACTTGGCAGGAGGAAGGAATTCCAGGGAAAACCCAGCTCAAGCCCTGCTTCCTCTTTGAAAGCTCCCCTACCCTCAGTAATGGCTTCGACAATGACAACTTCAGCTATTATTTCTGACCACAAGACCATGCTCCAGGGCTCATACTACGTGCTTAATGAAGGACATTTCATTCGATTCTCTGGGCATTTCCCTGGCTGAAGGCTCTGCTTGGACCCCTCTGTCCTCAGAGATCTACAGCTCTTTCAGAGACTACTTTCTTGGCAGAGCCAAACCTCATCGTCCTCTCCCTATTCCTTGTATCTTGTTCTGTTTCTTTCCGTAGCTTCTATCACCTTCTAATGTAGTGTATAATTTACTAATTATTATGTTCATTGTCTACTTCCCTCCACTTTAGGCTCCAAAAGGGCAGAGACTTTGTTTCTTTTGTTTTCTGTTATAGCCCAAGCCCTTATAACAGTGTCTGGTATACAGCAAGTGCTCAATACATATTAAAACCTTTTGAGGCAGGCGTGATATTTTCACAACACAGAGGACCTAGGGCTCTAGACACGGGTTAGGGGGCTTGTCCAAGGTCACAGAGCTAGCGACATCCAGATTCAAGCCCTCGTTTATTTTGGGCTGCTGGGTGTGGAGCCTTTGGGGGTGGGCAGCCATGAGCCGGGACCTTGTTCTGAATTTACAGTTGGAGATGTGAGGCAGCTGGCTTCCCGAGGGATTTCTGCCTGCATGCCAACCAGCAGGTCCTTCTGCATAGCCCTCCCCGCCTGACAGGGTGAAAAAAGCTTTTTCCCCTTCCTGGGGCAACTTTCATTCCCCCTCCTTTCCCTCCCCCAGCCAGGGAGGGGCCTGCAGGTGCAGTCCAGCTCGCTTCCCCTCCCTGAGGACTGGGTTTCTGCCTGGGCTGAGTCCACACCCAGGGCCCCAGGCACCCCTAGGAGGCCCGCACCCTGGACTCTGAGAGGCTCCTTTCCCTTAGATGTGAATCCGGGCCCCAGAGTGCCCACACAGAACATACATCTTAAACAAACACTTCTCCTTGCTGTTTATCTCCCTGGCCTTTAAACAAACTCTTTCAAAGGTTTCTGCTGATAGGAGAGATTTACTGAAAACCATTCCTTGCTTAAAAGCCCTGGGTTTATGCTGCCAGGGTGGGGGCCGTGGGGGGCCTTCAAGCCTGGGGTTTCTCTGCCTCTGGACCAAATGTTTATCCTCCAGGCCTTGATAGAGGAGCAACACAGACTAATCTTTATGGAAAAGAAAATAAGAAAAGCAGGAAAGGGGAGGGGTGGAAGCTAGGGGAGAAGTTTGGTTCTCGTCATTGACTCCAAGAAGTCTTGGCGGAGCCCATGTGGCAGTGCCCACCACGCTGCAGCCCAAGAGGGCGGGGTGCAGAGCTGGGGAAGGGTGGGGCCCCCTAGAACTTTGGACTGAAGGCCCTTGGGCAGGTGAGCCTCTTCTTGGGCCCCCGCGCCCTGGACAGAGGCCAGAATGGGCCTCTCCCAGCTGGTGGGGGAGGGCAGGGGAGCAGTCATGTGACCATGTTTTTACTCCTGCTTTTGACCAACATTTAGGAAGCACCTAGTGTATGCCACAATCTCGGGTACAGAGTTGAGTAATTGTTAACATTTATTTCAGCATTTCTGTGGGCCCGGCACTGTTTTAAACCACTTACATGAATCAGCTCATTTAAGACAACAGCCCCAGAAAGTAGATTCTAGAATCATTCCAGTTTTGCAGACGGGGAAATGAAGGCACAGATTAATTACTGGGCCATATCTCAGAGGTTTTGGTTTAATTGGAATGCAGTCGGGGCATCATATTCTAAAATGCTTCTCGAGTGGAGGACCACTGCTATAAAGATTGACACTCCTGTTGCCTCTTCCTCGCCCTCTCAATAATATAGTATTTCATCGAGTCTAAGGTGCACACGTCTCTGAAATCTGAGATGTGTCTCACAATCCATTCGTAGTGGGACGTAAAATAATGATGCATCTTATAATCTTAGATTTGAGGAAATATGGTAGCCTCCCCTTATCCGAGGGCGTATGTTCCAAGACTCCGAGTAGATGCCCAAAACTGGGTAGTATCGAATCCTATAACACACTGTTTTTCCTATATATACATACATACATATGATAAAGTTTAATTTATAAATTAGGCACGGTAAGAGATTAACAGCGATAACTAATAATAAAATAGAATAATTATAACAATATACTGTAATAAAAGTTATGTGAATGTGGTATCTTTCTGATAACTGAGATGGTTACCAAGTGACTAAGGAGCAGGTCACATACAGTGTGGAGACTGGACAAAAGGGTGATTCACATTCTGGGCAGGACAGAGCAGGGCATCTCGAGGTTTCATCACACTGCTCAGAACGGTGCCTAATTTAAAACATGAATTCTTTATTTTTGGAATTTTCCATTTAATATTTTTGGACCTAAGTTGACCACGGGTAACTGAAACCGTGGAAAGGTAAACCGTGGATAAGTGAGGAACTACTGTATAGTAATAGAGAACTCACCTCTGTCATCTGAGTGGTTTGTCTACCTTATCTCACTCAATCCACCTCCCAAAGCTTTGAGACAGGTCACATGAGCACCTCTGATGAGAAAACTGAGGCTTCGAGAAATTAGTAACTTGCCCAAGACAACTCAGCTAATAGGAGTTAGAGGCAGGATTTTAACCCACAATTAAATGGTCTAATATTTATTCCTGAGCCTTGAAGGGTACTTTACATTTTTCAAGCTGT